ACAATTACAATACATTCCAGTACAGAAGGAATGTGAGGGCCCCCGCTCGTGGAGCTTACAATCTAAAGGAAGGGGGAGATGATACAAAAGGTGATAGCTGTGGAGGTGATTCAAGTACAGTTCTTAGGTGGAGGTGGGGTAGACTTCCCTGAAGAAGTGCGTTTTCAAAGATCGCCTAAAGGCAGACAGGGTGGGGGCTGACCGGACATGCTGTGGTAGGGAGTTCCAGAGGATGGGAGAGGCTCTGGAGAAGTCCTGGAGGCGAGCGTGGGAGGAGGTGATGAGGGAGCTAGAGAGGAAGATATCATGGGAGGAGCGGAGTGGGCGATTTGGATGATATCTGTGGATGAGGTCGGTGATGTAGCTAGCGGCAGTGTTGTGGATGGCTTTGTAAGCTGAGGTTAGTATTTTGAATTTTATACGTTGGGTTATTGGAAGCCAGTGAAGGGATTGGCAGAGAGGGGCAGCAGTCGCTGATCGGTTGGTAAGGTGTATGAGTCTAGCAGCAGCATTCATAATAGACTGAAGGGGGGATAGCCTGTGTAACGGTAGACCAGTGAGGAGGGAGTTGCAGTAATTGAGGCAGGATATAACCAAGGCATGGATAAGTTGTTTTGTGGTGTCGATGGTCAGGAAGGGGCGGATTTTGGAAATGTTCCAGAGGTTGAGGCGGCAGGATTGAGCCAGTGAGTGGATGTGGGGCCCAAAGGAGAGGTCAGAGTCTAGGATTACGCCTAGAACCCTGGCATGAGGAGAAGAACCAATGGTTGTGCTGTTGATCTTAATGGTAAAGTCATGAGTGGGGTATCGGGGAGGAGGTAATATTACAAGCTCAGTTTTTGAAAGATTGAGTTTGAGGTAGTGATGTGACATCCATGTTGATATGTCGCTTAGTAGGTTTGTGATACGTGAGGAGATTGAGGGGGTGAGCTGGGGAGTGGAAAGATAGATCTGGGTGTCATCAGCATAGATATGGTATTGGAAGCCATGGGAGGTTATCAGCTGGCCCAGGGAGGAGGTATAGAGAGAGAAAAGGAGGGGCCCAAGAACAGAACCTTGGGGTACCCCAACAGGAAGAGGAGCAGAGGAGGAGGAGTTTGTATGTGACACTGAAAGTGCTCTGAGAAAGGTAAGAGGAGAACCAGGAGAGAGCAGAGTCATGGAGGCCGATGGAGTGGAGTTTACTGAGGAGGAGCGGGTGGTCGACTGTGTCAAAGGCAGCGGAAAGGTCAAGGAGTATAAGTATGGAGTAATGGCCGTTGGTTTTAGCAGTTAGGAGGTCATTAGTGAGTTTTAGTAGGGCAGTTTCTGTGGAATGTTGTGGGTGAAAGCCAGACTGTCGGGGATCAAGAAGGTTGTTGCCGGTGAGGTAGCAGTTCATACGGTTGTGAACAAGGTGCTTAAGAAGCTTGGAGGCAAACGGGAGCAGGGAGACGGGTCTTAAGTTATTCAAACAGGTGGGGTCCAGCGAGGGTTTTTTTGAGAATGGGGGTAACCAGTGCATGTTTGAGTGGGGAGGGAAAGGTGCCCATGGAGAGTGAGAGGTTGAAGATGTGGGTTTAGAGAGTTTAGGATAGAGCAGGAAGGAGGCTGCAACAGTCGTGAGGGGACAGGATCCAGGGGACAGGTGGTGAAGTGGGCCTTGGAAAGAAGATCAGTAACTTCCTTGGAGGTAACAGGGTCAAAGGAGGAGAGTGTTGAGTTTGGTGTTGGGCCTGGTATGTTGGTTAGAGGAGGAAGCTTGACACTGGAGATCTCATCACGAATTGTGTCGATCTTCTTCTTGAAGTGACTGGCAATCTCCTGTGCAGTAAGTAAGTTGGTGGGTGGAGGCAGTGGGGGGTGGAGTAAGGAATTAAGGGTAGAGAAGAGTTGACAAGGATTGGATGAGAGGGTCTTGATGAGAGTGTTATAGTAAGCTTGCTTAGCAGCGTGGAGGCTGGAGTTGTATTTAAGAAGAGCGGATTTGTAGGGGTAAAGTCTTTCAGGGATTTAGTTTTACGCCATGCTCGCTCAAGAGTGCGGCTGCGTCTCTTGAGGCTTCTGGTGTCATCTGTTTGCCAGGGTTGAGACAGGAGAGGCCTGGTTCTGAATGTAGAAAGAGGAGCAAGAGCGTCCAGGGAGGATGATAGAAAGTTGTTGTAGGCAGATGTGGCCAGATAGGGGTGCAATTTCATCATAGAGGCGCTCAGTAGCGGAGTGAAGAAGGTCAGGGCTGAGATGGTGGAGGTTTCTATAGGTGACGGTTTGCAGGTTGGAGGCATGGGGGGTAGGAGGCAGGGAGAGTGTGAAGCTGATAAAGTTGTGATCAGAGAGCGAAAAAAGGGTGTTAGAAAGGTTAGAGGGAGTGCATTGTTGGGTGAATACAAGGTCAAGGGTATTGCCATTGCAGTGGGTGGTGGATTGTGACCATTGTGTTAGGTTAAAAGAGGAAGTTAGGCTGAGTAGTTGAGAGGTGGTAGGGGTGTGAGCATTGACTGGGATGTTAAAGTTGCCGAGGAAGATGGCAGGCACCTCAGAGGAGAGAAAGTATGGTAGCCATGCTGAAAAGTCATCGAGAAAGCATGAAACTGGGCCCGGGGGCCAGTAGATGAGTGCGATCCTCAGACAAATGGGAGAAAAGAGACAAATACAGTGCACTTCAAAAGAGTGGGGGGACAGAGGCAAGGGGGCAGGAAGAACCTGGAACGTGCATTGTGGGGAAAGAAGAAGACCGACTCCGCCCCCTTTTCGTCCACTGGGTCTGGGCGAGTGAGTCCAGAGGAGGCCGCTTATGGGAGAGTGCAGCTGAGGAGACAGAGTCAGAATCCTGGAGCCAGGTTTCAGTAATAGCAAGAAGGTTGAGGGAGTGGGAGAGGAAGAGGTCATTGATAGTAGAGAGTTTGTTAGAGGCTGAGCGGGCATTCCAGAGGGCACATAGGAGGGAGGGGTTGGTGCGTGGAAGCAGGGGAATTGAGATGAGAGAGTGAGGGTTGTGGCTGTGGCCAGAGAGGGGAGGCTGCTACTTCTGTGGGTTGGAGTTTGATGGTGGAGGGCCAGGGTTTGGGGCAATGTCTCCAAAAGTTAGTAGTAGTAGGAGGGTGAGGGAGGTGAGGTGGGAGCGAGATTTATATGAGGGCAAGTGCCGCAGTGCTTTTGAAGCGGTGACATTATGTGGACCAAGAGAGTGCAGTGATATTGAGAGGGCAGAAGTGAGGGTGATATGTACAGGTTGTGTGGGTGGGGAGGAGGGGTAAACAAGAGAGAGTTTGAGAAGAGAGGGTATTATAGCAACAAACAGAGTTAGCAAGAGCATGCTGGAGAGAGGAGAGATAACAAAGGAAGGCTGACAGAGAGAGGTAAGAGAGGGAAGAGCACATGCAATCTACTTGGGGGCAGCACTATTGTTTGTACTTGCTTTAAAGTGCCGTGTTTAAAGTACCAGATACTTAGCTCCATAATGCGTACTTTGAGCAAGGAATGCCAGCCTGTCCCCCTCGCAAGCTGTCCCCCGGAATGTTATGACTAAATACTTGGATGAACAGGGGGAGTTTAGGCAATTGTTCAATTAAGAGCTAATAAATGACACATGGGGGAGGTGTTCTGCCCTTAACAAATTGCAAGCAGGATGGACACAAGATAAGGCAAGGTGTTTGATCTCATCTAAGGCACTGTAAGGCTAAGGTCACTTCATACAGGTAAGTATACACAATAGTTACAAAAAAAAAGAAAATGTAAAAAAAATGTAGATTTGTATTTTTAAAGACATAGAGTACATTTGAAAATGTATTTTTAAAAATATTTTCATATATTTTGTAATAAAAACGCTTTTCAACATACAGTATATAGTTATACACAGTATAACTATATATATATATAACAACACAGTATATATTTATTGAAATATATTTTTTGAAATATATTGAATATGGCTAAAATTGGGAAGAATATATTTTTTTTCCATGTGGGTTCACTCGCCTATACTCATCTCAATACATGCCACATACATCATATAGTTACTGTACGTAGTTATAGGCACTAGGGAGTTAACCCCCCTGGTGGTATTCCCGAGTGTAGCTCGGGGGTTAACTTTCAGTACCAAAAGCGGTAACCCCGAGCTACACTTGGGAACACCCTGCAGTGTTGCTCCGGGATCCCTGTTTCACTTACCTTGTCCTGCGCTCCCCGCGATGTCCCTCCTGCAGTGTCCCCGCAATGTCCTCCAGCCGATGCCGGCATCCATCTTCCGGGTTCCGTTCCCTGTGACGTCGGGACGTACGGGGATGGAACTGGCGGGAAATTTAAAAATGTTAAAAGTGACATTCACTAAATACACTAAAATCTGATTGTAAAACATTACTGTATCAAACCATTTCACATACATTTTGTCCCGAGTGCTCTGTTCTTTCTGCCTGGAAACTGAGAAATGTCCATGGCGTCCAAAAAGCCTCCCTTTAGGTCAAAATCGGTTTTAGACCGGCTAGAGAACAGCGATAGTAAATTAGAACCACTTGCAGAATTGAGTGATATTAATTCGTGGGGAAATTCGTCATCAGACACTGAAAACGATTCTGCGACTGAGCTCAGTGATATGCGAACTTGGCGTTATATTTCAAATTTCAGTGTTTTTGGTTTGATTATGTTATTGAATTAAATGTATTATTATATTATTATTTTTTATGATTATTTATTATATTATAATTTATGATTTCGGTTTCAAATTGTATCCTACCCGGGATGTTTACTATGGTCAGTGAGTTATTCCTAAGAACAGGCCTACAATAAAAAAACAACATATTTCCATGCAAAACAATATACCGCTTTGAGCACAGAAATACTGACATAATCAGACCGCTAGGTTGGTTAAAGAAATTCCCCCAAAGGATAGAAGTTTAAAAGAGAACCAACAGCGGTGTAAATAAAACCAACAGCTTTATCAGGGCTTAAAATTTGAGCTACTAGCCAGACCTTAAGAGTTACTCGCCACCAACAAACACACACAAAACAGAGACACCTGTACACACACACAGACATGTACATACACATACAGAAACATGTACACACACGCACAGAAACATATACACACACGCACAGAGACACATGTACACACACACACACATACAGAAACATGTATACACACACAGGCAAGTACAGACATGCATACACACAGATACATGTACAAACACAGAAATACACATGCACAGACACATGTACATACACAGACATATGTACGTACATACACACACATGTACATGGGCACACACAGACACATGTACACACACACACATACATGTACATACACGCAGACACATGTAGAGATACACACATGTACATACACACAGACACATGTACATGCATACACAGACTCACACACATGTACACACACACACACCCCTATAAAAAGTTATAGTACTCCGTTGTTCACAAACAGATCCGGGTACTGCACTCTAGGGGGAGGCAGAGAGCACAGCACACACTCCTTCCTTTGCTTTCACTGCTCTCAGCTATTGAGCAGTCTGACGGCTCCCAGTGCCAATGATAGATCTGGCCTGAGCCCTGCACCTGCTCAGCAAGATGGCTCTGGGGTACACCCTCGCCCCCACCATAATTACACTCGCCATTGTCGAGCAGGCGAGTGGAAATTTCAAGGCCTGGATTTATTATATTTCATAAAAATGGTAATAGACCTATTAGGCCAAAGGTTCCTCTATTCACATGAATAAAATGGATAACATTATCACTTTAAAATGAACCAGGCCATTTTAGATATAATACATCTACCTTCCATCTTAGATGAAAATTAATTGTGAGTCAATTATAACCAGAGTCTTGTATAGTGGGATAACCACATTAGGCCAACAATGCAAAATTCAAGACTCTGGAAAATAAACTCTCCAACCAGGACATAGTCCACTATTAATGAGCAGCACATATAGATTCTCTAAAATTAGGCAAAAATGCTCACTGAATCAGCCCAATATTAATGTAAGGCCACAGTGGCCAATTACATCCATTGAGGGATAACTTCCCTTATTAGCCACAAATAATACTAGAATGTGAACAATAGAGTAGAGGCTCGCAGTAGGTATTGAATAATTGGAAGCTTGTTTGGTCTGGTCATCCAATAGACCCACTGAGTCTGATCACAAGTTGTATGAAAATAAATATCCAACTTCAATGGACATCGATAGACAGCAATGTCAATGGTGTACAGATGAAAATAGGGGCCCCAAGTTTTGCTCACCTCCTCATAAAAAGAAATCAGATTTGTTCATACATGGAATTATACACACCATCCACTTTATTAGGTACACCTTGCAAGTACAGGGTTGGACCCCTTTTGCTTTCAGAACTGCCCTAATTCTTCATGGCATAGATTCAGCAAGGTGTTTGAAACATTCCTTAGAGATTTGGTCCATATTGACATGAGTTACTGTTGCCTTTCTATCATCTTGAACCAGTCTGCCCATTCCTCTCTGACTTCTGACATCAACAAGGCATTTTCATCCCACACAAATTCCACTCATTGGATAGTTTCTCTTTTTTGAACCATTCTCTGTAAACCCTAGAGATGGTTGTGTGTGAAAATCTCAGTAGACCAGCAGTTTTTGAAATACTCAGACAAGCACACATGGCGCCAACAACCATGCCACATTCAAAGTCACTTAAATCCCCTTTATTCCTCATTCTAATGCTCAGTTTGAACTTCAGACTTCAGCAAGTTGTCTTCAACATGTCTAGATGCCTAAATGCTTTGAGTTGTTGCCATATGATTGGCTGATTAACAGTTTGTGTTACCAAACAATTGAACAGGTGTACCTAATAAAGTGGCCAGTGAGTGTATGTTCATATGTTACACTCCTGTTTTCATTCCTCACACCTTGCTTACAAAATATAAACAGCTGATTGATAGCCTTGGCTGTTAAAGAAAAGGCTAAACCAGAGGTAAATTGACCACAAAGTCCATAGAAATTGACCCCCAAGGTTTTGATGGAACAGGGAGTGGCTGGAGCAACCCCAAAGGAAAAGCTCAGGATCTCTTATTGCATATGCAGGTCAGGCAGGAGGCCACATAGCTTTTGACATCTATCTTGTAACCAGGCCACCAAAAGGAACGTGACAAAAAAAGTTCTTCTGTCTTAGAAACCCCAAAATGCCCCGCAAGTTTAGAGTCATGCACTAACTTGAGGGCATCAACCCAAGCAGATTCAGGTACATAGAGATTATGTGTTTGAGTCCAAAAGCCGTTCTTGTATTCAAGGTTAATGTCCTTAAAAGGATGATTGAGAATTGGGTCATTCTCATACCCCTCTTTGAGGAGATTCAAGAAGGTCTTGAAACTTATGGCCCCAAGGAAGTTATTTTGAGTTCGAATTGTACATTCAGAGTTATCTTCTTGGGGAGGCTCAGACAACATCCTTGGTAAGGTATCGGCTTTACTATGTCTCGATCCAGGTCAATACGAGATATTAAAATTAAACCTGGAAAAAAAAAAAATAGAGACCAACGTGCTTGACTAGAAGACAATCTCTTGGCAGAGTGAATGAATTCAAAATTTTTATTGTCAGTGAGAACAATTGCAGGATGATTAGCCCCTTCCATCAGATGCCTCCATTCAGAAAAGGCTTCCTTAATTGCCAATAACTCTTTATTCCCATTGTCATAATTCCTTTGGCCACCGTTTCCCGGGGGCTGGCCAATCTACCACTGCTTTGATCTTCTCGGGATTCATGCTCAGTCCTTCTGGAGAAATAATATACCCCAAAAACTGGATCTGGGATTGTTCAAACTCATATTTCTCCAATTTGATGTAAAGTCTATTCTTCTCATGTTTGTGGTGCTCCCCTAGGTTATCAGAAAAGATGAGAATATCATCCAGATAAGCAATCAAAAATTGGTCCAACAGATCTCGAAAAACATTGTTGATGAAGTGTTGGAAAGTTTCAGGGGTGTTGCAAAGAAAGACCAAAAGGCATAACCAAGGACTCAAAATGCCCATACCTGGTTCTAAAGGCAATTTTCCATTCACCTCCTTGACACATGCGCACAAGGTTATATGCCCCTCGTAAGTCAAGTTGTGTAAAGATTTTGGCAGAACAGAGTCTTTCCAACATTTCAGAGATCAAGGGGAATGGATAACTGTTTTTAATAGTGATTTTATTCATGTCCCTGTAATCAATGCATGGATGCAAGGTGGAGGGTTTCTTTTCAACGAAGAACAAGGCTACTCCTGCAGGTGATTTTGAGTGTCTAATAAAGTCCTTCTCTAAATTCTCATCGAGCCACTCCCTGAGAACCTTTAATTGAGGTTTTGACATATTGGAAAGGCAGCTGAAAGGTATTTCTGCCCCTGGGAGCAGCTCAATGGGACAATCATGTTGGCGATCAGGAGGTAATTGTTCAGCATTTTTAAAAAATAAAACATATAAACAAAAAAGACTGAACATTTTGAAAAAAAAAGATATTTTCTACTTTTGGTTATATAAAATATCCAATAAACTCGAAGTTAGTCAGAAATGTATGCCAAGATGTATTCTGCTATATGTCTTTTCGTAAAAAAAAAAAAAACCCAATACATGTATATTAATTGGTTTGTGTGAAAGCTATAGCGTCTACAAACTATGGTATATACAGTATATATATATATTGGAATTTAGGCAGCTTTTTCTTTCTGACTGCCTATTACATTTGAGGTGCTAAAATGCCATAGAAGTACAAAAAAAACCCACAAATGACCCCTTTTTGTAAAGTAGACACCCCAAGGAATTTGGTGAGAGGCATTTTGAGTCCATGGAAGAATTTATTTTTTGCTACAAATGTTTGAAAAATGACACTTTTTTTACACAAAGTTGTCAAATAATATATTTCTCACGCATGTCATGTGTATATGTGGAATAACACCCCAAAACACATTCTGCTACTTCTCCCGAGTATGGCAATACTACATGTGAGAGATTTTTTTGGTAGCCTAGCTACATACAGGCCGTGAAAATCCAATGACACCTCCAGGCTTTCAAAGGGAATATTTCCTCATGTTGCTTCCTATCACAGTTTCAGAGGCCCTAAAAAAGTAAAGTAGACAACCCAAGGAATTTGATAAGAGGCATGATGAGTATTTCGCAGATATAATTTTTGTTACAGGGTTTTAAAAAAAAGAAAGCAAAGAAAAAAATACATTTTCGCTTTCTTTCCTCGTTTTCCAAAAACTTATGGCAACAAAAGAGATCTGCAAAGCACTCACTATGCCCCTTAGAAAATACCTTGGAGTGTCTATTTTCCAAAAAGGGGTCATTTGGGGGGGGGGGGGGGGGGGGGGGTATGCTTCTACTATCCTGGTATTTCAGGGCCAACATTAGAATCTTTGGCCACACACTGCTCACTCTTCTAATCACTTAAAGACCAAGCCTTTCGGACACTTTTTGTTTACTTGAAAAAACTTTTTTTAACTAGAAAATTACTTTGAACCCCCAAACATTATATATATGCATCATGATGCATGATGCAATCGCTGTTTACATACTGACACGGGAACCGTGCTTGCATTTGCCTTTGAGCGTAAGCACACGGATGGGGTGAATTTTTTTTTTTATTATTTATTTTGCTTTTTTTTATTTTTACGCTGTGCCTTTCATTATTTTGTTCACTTTTATTGTTATCACAGAGAATGTAAATATGCCCTGTGACAGCAATAGGCAGTGACAGGTACTTTTTTCTGAGAAATCTTGGGTCTAGATCTCTCCTCTGCCCTTAAAGCATCTGATCACACCAAGATCTGTATGATCAGATGCTTTCCCAATTTTAAAATGGTGCTGTTTATCTGAAATCAAAATGATGAAATGCTCATAGCGTCTGGTGTCTTAGACCATAGAGATGATTGGAGGCATTCTGTTCTCCAATAAGCTCTATGGTCAACCAGCGGAACTGCATTCTCAGGTTCCCTTGGTGAGATGGGAGAGCCCAATAAAACTGGAAAGCGGAGGGAGGGGTGGCGGGAGTCCCTTCTTGCTGCTTGTAAAAACGATCCAGTGGTTAATTAGCTGGTAGTATTGCTTTTACATGAAATTGAACCGCCAGCTGAAACAAACAATACCAGGATGATGCCTGTAGCTGCAGGCATCATCCTGTTATAACCATTCAAAGTCCAGTGACATACCAGTACATTGCTGGTCCTTGTTTGGCATATATGTAATAGCAGAGAATATGGGCATATGATGAATCGGGTTTGTGGACCAATGTGACTGCAATTCATTCTTTTTTGCAATGGCCACGTTGAGGGTCAGGCCCAAAATAGTTTTAAATTCAGAAACCGTGATAGGTTTCCATGCACATTGTCTGGCATAAGCTGAATTTGGGTGGGCAGCTATGTATTGTTGTCCGTATAAATTGCTTTGGCCCA